AGAATGCTGACTGTAGGCAGGGCCACGCCTGTAATCCCACTGCTTTGGGAGAATGAAGTGGGAGGATTGAGGCCAGGAGTATTGAGACCAACCGGGGCAACATAGTGAGACCTGCGTCTCTACAAAAAAAATTTTTTTAATTAGCTGGGCATTGGTAGCATGTGCCTGTATTTATAGCTACACAGGCAGCTGAGGCTGCAGTGAGCTATGATCGCACCGCTATACTACAGGCTGGGTGACAGAGTGAGATCCCATCTCTTAGAATACAAGAGTGCTGTATCTGTGTGCAAATTTCAAAAATTCATTGATACTTATTTCAAGTTTACAAGTGGATTTTAAAGATTTGTTGATTTTGATTAAAACAAGTGTCTGCATAATGTACCAAGTTAAAAATCAAGTAGAACATTTGTTTACATTTGTTTCTTACAGCTCCCAAAATAGAGAAAGTAAATGATCACATTTGTGAAATTACATGGGAGTGTTTACAGCCAATGAAAGGTGATCCAGTTATTTACAGTCTTCAAGTTATGGTAGGAAAAGATTCAGAATTCAAACAGGTATGTACCAAGATAATCTGTGGATGCATATTTTTACCCTTTTTTAATTTTTATGTATTTTCAATGTAAGATTTGGCCATCTTTCCCTTTCCAGTTCAAAAACATTTATTCAATATATATTATGTTCCAGAGATCTCAAGATTCCAGATCTTTTCAGTGTGAACTACACTTGAACAGACTATTCATTTAAGTATTCACTGAACTCTGTGCCAGGCACTCAGGATATAGCACTGAACAAAAAGTCTTTGCCTCCATGGAGCCTACATTCTGGTGGAAAAGGAGACGCTATAAGCAAATAAACATGTCAATATATTGTCAGATATAAGTGCAAAGGAGAAAAAACAAAATTGGATAAAAGGAATAGGGAGTAGTAGAAGGGAAGGGCATTGAGTGTTATTTCATTTGGGGCAGTCAGCTGACATTTCAGTGCTTCCCAAAGGAGATGACTGTGGGGAGAAGAGTGTTCTAAGATGTGCTGTGGCAGGAGGATGCCTGTTAAATCTGATGTACATAAAGGAGCCAATGTGACTGGGGTGGAGAGAGCAAAGGGAAGAGTTGGTAAGGTCGGGTAGTTAATGCTAAGGAACCTATAGGTGGTATGGAGTGATGTAGGGCATAATAGGCCATACTGTGGCTTTTACTCCATGTATAATGTGAAGCCAATGAAGGATTTTGGCCACGGTATTCATGTGATCAAACATAAGGTTATATTGACTATAGTGTTGAAACTACGGTAGTACAAAGGCAGAACCAGAAAGACTAATAAGGAGGCTTTTACAATAATAGTATTAATAATAGTCATAATGCAGTGCTGTAAATATGACATTAGGCATGAAGTTATCATGGGAACCTAGAGGAAGTGTCACCTTCCTACCTAAGAGGTTTCAAAGATAGCTTTCTGGTAAAGCAAGAGTAGCAGTCAGATAGAGTAGAGAGTTGCCAATGTTTGTTACAACTTTTATAAAGCATAAGCTTTTATACCACTGCAAAGACTAATTACCTATACATTTCATCTGATTTTCCCTTTTGACTGTAATCTTAATTTTGAAGACTTGTAAGCTCGGTTGTTTTCATTGTGTCTTATATTTTCCTCTTCCACTAAAAAATTGATCATTCATTTGTTTTATTCCAGTGTTGTGCTATTATAACTATTCTGTGTAATATCTTAACTGAAATTACAAAAGATCCAAAGAGTCAGATTAAATTTGGCATGTATTGTTTTTCTTTATTAAGCCGTCTGCAAATTGGCATGATAATTAGATTTGAAATGTAATTTAGAGATAAGTAGGTTTCCTTCTAAGGAGGAAGCAAAATTAATATTAAAGAAAATATAATTGTATTACATGTTTAAAGGAAATAGGGACTCCACTTGTGAGTAGTATATGAATAAGCTTGAGGCTTGTTTGAATGACTTTTCTTGGGTATATAAACCTTCTTAAATTAGCGTGAAGAGGTTAATCTGTTTTTGTCAGTCCTGTATCTACAGCTACCTATGTCTCTTCCTAATTAGATGTCCTCCCACATCTGAAATATAAAATTGAAAACCTGATTCCATCATCTTCCCTCCCAATCTCTCCTCTCCATCATCTTTACTTCATCAGTGTCATGGACACTAATATCATCTTGGTCTCCAAGCTTTAAATTCTTCGATGAATTTTTTTTCTTGACAACTCTTAATCAGAAGTTGTTTCTAAATCCATAAAAACTACATCAGGACCTCATCACTTTTCACATGTACATCAAGAGTCCCTGTCCCGCTTAGCTCACTTCAGTCCTTCACACAGCCTCTGGATTAGGATTCTGTAAACACTGTTTTAATGTCACACACCTACAGTGGCCTCTTTTGAATTAATGTAAATTTTCAACTAGTGTAATTAGCGTATTCTTCCTCTCTGTACCAGATCTTTTCATTTATCACCCTCATGCCATTTGTTGAGGTTTTTCTTCCTTAACCTAATACTGCCATACTCATGGAATGGTATATGAAGACACGTGGAAAATATTAAGACAAAAATCATCCATTATATCCATAAGACAAATACATATTTTTAATTTTTACTAAATTTACTTCAGCGTATGTATACAGTTTTAAACTACTGTCTCATACAGCATTCTGTTTTAAGTGAATTGTTTTACAGGTTGAAGCATCCCAAATCAAAAAGTCCAAAATTCAAAATGTTCCACCCAGAATCTGAAACTTTTTGAGGATTGACATGACACTCAAAGGAAATGCTCACTGGAGCATTTCAGATTTCAGATTTTGGGGTTTGGGATGTTCAACTAGTAAATATGCAAATATTCCAAAATCAAAAAAATTGAAATGCTTCTGGCTCCAAGCATTTCACAGAAGGGATACCCAACCTCTACTATCTCACAAACATGGATCATTTCTACATTCTACTCCCTGAAACATTATGCATCCTTAGAACTAATGCATAGTCACCATTTTCTTTCAGATTTATCTTAAAGCTTCTTTCAATAAGTTCCTTTATATATTGTATCAGCATCCACATTTTTATTTATTGTCAACAATTCACTAATTTAATGGCCTTTTATTAAGTACCTACTATATGCTGGATTCTGGAGATAGAAAAATGAGACAGAGATCTTACTTTGCTTCTTTGAGAGCAAAGAAATATGTAAAAATTTAGATTGACAACACAGGTACAATTGAGGCATCTAAAAGTACTTAACAGCTCCCAAATGCCGGTTCATCTGACTTATAGCCCAACAAATAGCTGGAGGAACTCAACTGACAAGTCATTTAACCCTGTGAGCCTTGATTTTCTCCATTACAGAATGAGTGGTGGGGGCTGCTCATTATTGGAAACGATAGCTTCTACAGATTGAGCAGTAACTGCATGCTGAGCACTGTGCTAAGTGCTTTAACAAGCATTAGTTCATTTCATTCTCATAATTATCATACATTTTAACTACTAATATGCCTATTAAGGTAGTTGGTTTAAAATCACATCTGGAGTTGGAAGTGGTAGAGCAGAATTTGGATGCCAGGGGTGAACAGTTCCAGTTTATAGCTTCTTAAGCCATTTATTTAGTGTTCCATTATTGGCACGCTAAGCTTGTGGGAGTCATTTATTATCCAGCTCCTCAGGGTTATCGCCAAGGTCTGATTTTTCACACACAAAAAGAATTTGCAACCTCTGGCACAAATGGGTTAATTACTAGCATGTTCCCCTGAAAATACATGGAATTTCATTCTTTTTATTCACCTTGTAAGGCATGGCAAAGGAGGTCCTATTCTCTGATTCTAAGTGATCTCCCCTCTCTGGAGTTTATACAGTGATTTTCCATAGGCACCTATAGAAAGCTTGCCTTATTCATTTGCCATTTCATTCAACAGATATGTTTGAAATTGTATGGAAATTTATCAGTTATACAAAGACATAATGGGGGAAGCAAAAGTAGACACTATCCCTTTTTTTTTTTTTTTTTTTAAACTCCATCTCTACTAAAAATACAAAAATTAGCCAGGCCACTATCCCTTTTTTATGGAATGATTTCATTTAAAAATGACTTCTTACATTTGAGGAAAACAGGAAAATGCTTGAGGATTGATTTTGCATGTTATCTAGCTGCCCTGGGGCACATCTGCACTGCTTAACTCATCTGTGAATCCTATAAAGGTAGATCTCACATCCTCGCTTTTCAGATTTCTCCTGCCCCTATGCAACAGACGGATAAGTACTTTAATGGATAGGTATTTTTAATATGTCATTTGAAAGATAAAATCAGTGACATTCACTGGCTTTCACATCAAAAACAATTCTAACACTAGCCAGTTGTAACACATTTTCTGTCCAGCCTTCACATGTAATTCTTCCTTCTAATATTTTATTAACAGATTTACAAAGGTCCCGACCCTTATTTCCGGTATTCCAGCCTTCAGCTGAACTGTGAATATCGCTTCCGTGTATGTGCCATTCGCCAGTGCCAAGACTCTCTGGGACACCAGGACCTCGTAGGTCCCTACAGCACCACAGTGCTCTTCATCTCTCAGAGGACTGAACCACCAGCCAGCACCAACAGAGACACTGTGGAAAGCACAAGGACCCGACGAGCACTGAGTGACGAGCAGTGTGCTGCTGTCATCCTTGTGCTGTTTGCTTTCTTTTCCATTTTGATTGCCTTTGTCATTCAGTACTTTGTAATCAAGTAAAAATATAACTTTATTTTTTAACTCTATTACATTTTATTTTGTCATGTACTAAAATTATTTCTGTATTGCTTTTATAAAAAACAGTGGCATTTAGCACTGGCATTGAGACTATAGCACATCATTTTTGCCATTTTCAGTGCTTATATTGTTAGGTAGAGGCTGGCACTTTATTAGAATGCAAGCCACAAAAATATCAATTTTTGTTTTTTTGTTAGGGTGGGTCTTTTTCTTTTTCCTTTTTTCTTTCTCTCTCTTTCTCTCCTTTTTTTTTTTTTTTTTTTTTTTTAACATGCCTTCTGTAGAAAAACTTTCTAAGAGACAACAATTTAGGAACGGATATTTTGACCAATCGGCATGAGTGTAACAGTGATAACCTGATCTGTTTGTTTTAAAGATTATTACCAAGTGAAAAATTCAGAATGAATAGAATTTACACTAACATGCTATATAAATGTTAAAGTCTGATGCTGTGAAAGCAATCTAGTGCTATATTTCTACCTCCTCATTTGTCTTAATTATTTGGTAAGTGGGATTATGATGAGTAGCTGGAGGGGCTTAGAAACAAAAACTGGATATGCATGAAGAAAAGCTTTGATAAATGTGGAGTTCTTCATTATAAATATATATTCAGAATTCACAGATAAGTACTTAAAGAAAGCACAGACAGTTTACTTGGCCTAAAAATATTTTGATGTTTACTCAGAAAGTTCCTCTTCAGGTCTTGAGAACATAGAAAAGAACCTGAGGGCTTTTAAATACTTTTTTAAAAGTAATCATAAAAGTAAACAATTTCAAACCTATCTGGCTCTGTTTTGTGAACCTTTGAACCATATGTACATGTATAAGTGTATACATGTACATAAATGGCATATATATACACACACACACACATACCAATGTAGAGATACATATTACACACATACACTCACTTCGTCTGGTATAGGCTAATTTTGAAGAACTCCCATAAGTTTTTGCTGCTTCTCCCATAACTGCTGCCACCACCATCAGAATTCATAATCAAACCTAACCTTTTTGTTTGGGGCACCAAATCTGAAGACAAAATTCATTTGCACCAGTAAACTTCAAGCTGCTTTCTTTCTTAAAAACTAACGTTTAATGTATAATGTCTGTTTGGATACTGTTCCAAATTGTTGGTTGCATGTGGTTAATGTTGCATTAGAGCACTTTGCAATTGCATAATTCATTAATGTTTTGTGAGCTTGCATTTGTGAGCTTTTGGATGATCAGACTGAATTTTGTCAAGTGTCACATTGTACTTCTTGCCTAGATGTCCATGACTGCCAGTAATAATACAGTTTATAATGAAACTATCTACAATTCTTTGTTTTAGCACATCTGTTATCTGTAAAACACCTGTAACTAGCTTTTTTAATTTATTATTCGAATTTTAGGATAGTGAATCACTAATTTTTAGTTGCTGAAGTTGGCATTTTAGTGATTATTAAGCACTTCTGTCAGTCTTTGAAAAAAGAACGTATGTTTTGTGCTTTGAAGATCTCTGAAGAATTTCTTTTATAATAGAATGGGCATGTATTGTAACTGTTTTATGTCAAATGATCTGTGCTGTAGAAAAACATTAACCCTTGTTCAAAAAAGAAATGGATAAACTTGGCCTAAGTGGTAAGAATGACCTGTCACTATAATATACTGTATGTTTACATTTTATTTAAATTTAATCTCTTATGTATAGGGTGATAACCTTCCCCCAAAACAACAGTGATTGCGATTGTTTTCTAGAAACTTCTTTAAATTGCCACATTTGGCAGTACAAATGAGTCTGAGTGTAATAGCCCAGAGATTTATATATAGTTGAATGTCTAAAAAGGTAAAATGTGCCACTGTGTCAAGTTAACAGTGGCTTATGTTTTTCATAGTAATTCAAATGAACCTCCTATTTTTGATAGTAAATGTCATTTAATAGTATACTTGCCATTTGAGCCTCACTGCAAAATTAGTGCAGAGGAGAAAACAATTTTTAATGTAATCTTGATTTTACCTCATATACTGTACATTCCAAAAACTCTAAACTTTTTAAAGATTATAGATACACTACCAAACATATCACCTTAAAATTGTATAAGGCTGAACTTCATAGAAATGAAAAAAAAATCTCATAAAAATACGTAAACTGTGTAGCAAAAGCATCTTTAAAATCCATGGAAAATAAAAGTTGTATCATTCTTTTTTGAGATATGTTTATTGTATTCATATGCATTCATTATTTACTGCCTGTTTAAGAAAATGAAATGTTACAGTCCCCCCCTTTCAGTGAGCTTAAAGCATTTTTCCCAACAGTATACAAATCTTCAACATGAGAGGATGCATATTTATTATATAAAGTCCAGTAAATAATGAAATTAGAAGTTTTATCCTAGTGACTTGATTTTTGTGCAACTCATGAAAATTTCCATCCCAAGGACTTCCTCCTCAGGGCAGGGACTCAGTGCCTTTTTTTTTTTTTTTTTTTTTTTTTTTTAATAGGTAAGCTAGCAAATTTGATGTTACAGATACTTTACCACAATAAAAAAAGATCATTGAAAAATTACCTGAAGAAGCCAATATGGAAGAAGAACTCAATGTTTAAAAAAGCCAACTTTTTTTTAAATCAAGACATAAGTACATAGCTCCAAACTCAAGGTCTAGGTTGAGGACAATCATTCTAAGTCCTATTAAAGGATAACCAGTTTTAAGAACACTGTCAGGCAGGCTACCATGTAGCTCTCCTTTACTCCATGCTTAGCTCTTGCAGCCTTCCCAGTAATGATGAAGGATCACATTTTTGTTCAGCTTTGCCCATTGCTGTCATTCATAACAGATGAATGAAAAGTCCCAGAAGCCTGTTATATTTGGGAAGGTTTTCTTCTGTTCCACGCTTCGATGGTTAATATGCTTGACAAATTTCAGTCTTTCTCTGCAGACCAAGCCAAGAATTGCTTTTTGAATTCACCATTAGCAGCTCTTCATCTTTGGCAATGTAAGAAGTAAAACCACCATATTCTGGCTCCCAGCCTTCACAGCCATAGTGGAGAATTAAGTCTAGGGCAAAATCAGCCTTGCTATGGTCACAAATTAAAGTACGTGACTAGTCTTCCAGTGCCTCAGTTCCCTTTGGCATGTGGGAATTCTTTGTTTCATTTTCCTGTGGCTCTGAGTCTGTCTGGTCATCACTGTTGACTGTTGTTGCTGATGGCTACCTGATTATTCTCTGGCTCAGGAGGGCTATGGCCAGTCCCTTCCTTAGTTCTATCGGCAGCAGAGTTGCTACTTCCTCTTTTTTGTCATCTGTCTCATCTTTCAAAGGGGCCAATAAGTGAAGCGTCAGGCCTGTGAAGTTGGAGAGCAGCAAGAACAGTGCCTCAGAGCAAAATACCTTCATGCACTCCTTCAATATACTGGAAAGCTTACTTCCTCAGCTTTCTCATAAAACCTGTTGTTGGCCGGGCGTGGTGGCCTGTAATCCCAACACTTTGGGAGGCCAAGGTGGAGGATGACCTGGCATCAGGAGTTCAAGACCAGCCTGGCCAACATGGTGAAACCCCTTCTCTACTAAAATACAAAAATTAGGCCAGCATGATGGTGATGCCTGTAATCCCAGCTACTCGGGAGGCTGAGACAGGAGAATCACTTGAACCTGGGAGACAGTAGTTGCAGTAAGCCAAGATCATTAAAAAAAAATAAATAAAAACCCTTTTGTTTGTTAGTGGGGGGGGTCTCGGCTGCTCCATTCCACATCTCCGTTCTCCAAGGCCTCACAGACCTTTACAAATTTATCAGGCTTAAGAAATTCCTTCAGGAGAATTTCAGAACTTTCTTCAAACTCTTCTTGAGTTTGAACTTGGTAATCCATATCCAGATAAGTTTGATTCAATCATACAAAGAAAGATTTCATGATCTTGTGGGATATGAGGGCTCCAAGGTATGAGGGGTTCAAAGTAGCTGGGAGGCCTAGTCAATGAAGGACCATGAAACTGGCCGCTTGTAGACAAACATGACTATTCTTCAGACAGGACTTCAGAAACCTGGTGAAAGGACACTGCAGATACTTCAAAGAAAACCGGTTTGTTCTATGAAGGGGTAAGAGATTTGACAGTCTGCTTCAGCTGAAAGTGTTCATCAGTGTTGTACTGGTCCAGGGTACCCCCCAGGCTCCTGTTCCAGGAATGAACCAGGTACAGGATAAAGGCAATCCAGCGCCCTTCCAGCTCACCATCATGGCACAGCAGGGCATCAATGAATTCATATTTGGCACAGGACACATCAATGGTTGATTCCAGGTAAATTTTAGAAATAACAGAAAGCCAGGACTGGAAATTTTCAAACAGAATTTTCCTTAAAGCAGAGATGTGAGGCCCTCTTCTGCTGCAACTTACATAAATCATTATACTTCTCATGGAAGTCCCAAGTTCCTAAGTTTCTTCTGAAGCCCTTCTAAGAAGTAGGCTTTAGATGAAGTTTGAGATCATGCAGTGAAGAAAGGGGTCCATCTCCATGACAATGACTGAACGGTGTCCTGCAGCTCCAGGCCTCAGCCACCTGCATTTTCAAAGCTTCTTCCATGACAGCATCCAAAAACTCTACCATGACCTCCTTTCCCTTTTTCCCCACCCGGGGCGGGGCAACGCTGGCCCTTTCTCATTCATCTCCTCACAAGGTACAGAGCCACACCAACTCATAGATTTCTTAATTGCCACAGCTGCGAATACTATAATAGAGTTTAAAATATTGGGCTAGGGAAGGAGAGTCTGGAAACAGAAACATCACAGAAGCAGCTAAGTATGAGTCCAGCCTTGAGTAGAGTATAATACTGATCGACAGTATTATTGTATGTCACCTCTTTTTTCTGTAGACTGGAAATAGGAGTTTTAGGCATCATGTCTGAGCATTCCAAGGGTTGCTTTCCAACACAAATCCCTTGCTTCTCCTCATTACAAGATTATTTCTGCAGGAAGATCCCATCCCATAGTGGCTCAAGGAAGCAAACAGGCTTTAAAAGAAAATAGTTCCCCCAAACTTAAGCAGTGATTCTGTAACCTAACTACCAAAAAAAATGATGCCTCACATTTTTAGAGAGTTTTTAAGTGTTCTATTTACATATATATTTTGTAAGTGTATGCTCTTGAGAATATGTATCCCTTTGGTTATCATTTTCTCTCTGATGCTCCTAAAAGGGAGAAAAAACTTGGAGAAAAAAAAGGAAACAAAAGAACCAAGATTTCAATAAGGTGGTCATCAAATTCTGTGTCCAGAGTGGTGCCTTAAAATGTTGAAATGCTCTAATGGCTATTTTTTGTCTCCTAAACAAGGTGATTGTGCTGTTTCTACTTGCTATGGGAAATTTGGCAAGAGAAAAGGGTTTCAAAACTGAACAGATTTTGAAGCCACGTGGCCCATTCAAATCATTATGGCTAGGATCTGTTGACCACTTAATGTGTCCTAAGCAATATGTTCAGTTCTTTACCTTGGGCATCTCATACAGTCCTCTTAATTGCTCTAGTAAGCATTATCTGCAGCACACAGAAGTCGGGCTCTTTGCCACAGGTCTCGTGGTTAATAAATGATGAAGCTGGGGTTTGGTGATTGGTCTGGTGCTCCCACACTTGATCACTATTCTCTGCTGTCTGCCCTAAAATTTGCAAACTCCAGGAAATCAAAATTTATATTAATTGACTTGAATAGTACATTTATGATAGCATTTATTGAGTACCACCTGTTTGCTAGACATTGTGCTAAGCACTTCCTCATATGCAAAACAAACCACAGCCCTCTAAGGATTGAACAGAAAGAAATCAAATAAGAAGAATCTGGTACGAGAATAACAGACTAAATAAGAAATCCTAATTTCTTTCCTCTTGAATTTCATCCCCTGATACTTTTACCACCATTTTGAGCCCACACTCAGTCTCTAAGGATAACCCATCTTAAATATGCATCCAAGGATGAAAATGCCCTTTTTTACCACTTAACACAACTGAGACATGCTGACATGTTCAAAAATGAGTATCGCTACCATGTGGACCAACCTCAAAAACATGCTACGATCAACGAAGCCAGACACAGAAGGTCACATATTGTATGATTCCATTTATATTAAATGTCCAGAATGAGTAAATTCATAGTGACAAATTAGTGGAGGCCAGGGCTGGAGGGAGGAGGAAATGGGGAGGAACCACTCAGTGGGTACTGAGGTGATGGAAATGATTCAGAGCTACACAGAAACAGTGGTTGCACAATGTTCAGAATGGTTAATTTTATGTGAATTTCACCTGAATTTTTAAAGAGGGAATATAAAACCTACAAACTGATACACAGGTAACATAAGACTAGAAAATCCTGGGCATCAAGTCCATAAAACTGACATAGTCAATAAGTTCCTTTTGCTAAGGACACAGGCCAACTTCTGTATTCCTTCTCAGATGCTACCACTCCTTTCAGCCTGTGGCATGTGCCTGGTTTACAACTGAATATTTTATGGATGTCCTTGAGAGCGATTAACCAATTTGGCCTGCCTAGACCCAAGTTATCAGCTCTATCTCACTCTTAATCCTTCTAGGGTGACACAGAGGACTTAGAGAAGAAATTACCTTTTCAGTTTCACAGTTTACTAATGGCAGCCACTGTGTAGTAATAATGTATGTATGTAGTAGTATAAGGCCTATATCCTCTTCCCACCCACGCTCCCAAGGGCTTGCTCCCTCTCCACCATTCCCCTTGGTAATCGTTGCCACACTGAGCCTGTCTGTCTCTCAGGAGAAACTGGAACCAACAGAAAACCGCTAAAGCAATAGCCACAGAGTAATAGGAATCTGCACTCCACAAAAGTCTTGCCTAAATTTGCGTGTCCCTGCTGTGTAAAGAGAAAACCTAGGAAAGACTGAGCCCCTGTTCAATGTGGTGGTCAGGTCCTGGATGGAAATAGCTGGTTTTGATCTTCTCCACCAGGAGCCCCCCTTCCAGGGCCAGTTTGCCATTTCTTCATTTTACTAAAGAAGATACCATTTCCTGGCATCTGGGGTCTAGAGGAGCCTAGTGGGTCATGTGAATGAGGAAGGGGCTGAGTGTGAAGCCACAGATACCTTGTGTGTGGCAACAGCTGTTGGGTGCCTGGAGAGTGGCGCCCGCTTATAGGCTGCAGGTGGCAGCCTTTGGGGAACATGAGCCCAGAGCTGCCACAGCTTCCAGTTTTGCAAGACAATGCTTCCTTCTCAAACTCCCACACCTCCCTGGATGTTACCATTCCTTTCAGCCTGTGGCATGTGCCTGGTTTACAGCAATATTTTATGGCTATCGTTGAGAGCTCTTAAAGAATTTGGTCTGCCTGGGCCCAAGTTGTCAATCTGGAACTTCACATGAAATTTCCCAATTGTAAAAGGTTGGTTCAAAACATTATGAAATGGCTGGGCTCAGTGGCTCACATCTGTACTCCCAGTACTTTGGGAGGCCTAGGAGGACAGATCACTTGAGCCCAGGAGTTCATGAGCAGCCTGGGCAATCTAGGGAGACCCTGTCTCTACAAACTTCATGCCCTGCTCTTATGTGGGGAAGAGTGTAAATCCTGTGGAGTGTTTACAAGTTTCCACAAGTAAACCATTATACGAGTTATGGATCTATTCTAATGCTCCTCACACCCTTCCAGATTCTTTCCAGATTCCATGTGCCCATAAAATCTGGTTTCTGGAATACAAACTGGAAGGCACTTTCCTAGCAGAATCCAGATCATAACCTAGCAGTCTCTGCAACTGATGGTGCTGTGGTTTATATAGCAAGAGGCCACCCAGCACAGTGGTTATGCCTGTGGACTCTGGAAGTGGACAGCACCACCCTTACTGGCTACCCCAGTGACCTGGGGTCTCTTCTCTGTGCTTTGCTCTTCTCATCTCTAACATAAGGATACTAAAAGGACCTGCTGCCTTGGACTGCTGTGAAGGATTAAATGCATTCAGATATGTAAGTACTTGGAACAGTGCTTTGCACACAGCAAGCATTAGCTTTATGTTGGCCTCCAGCCAGGGACCAAGAGCCTATTCATGACACCAAACTCTTGCCTCCGGGGACGCAGGCCATAGATGGGCCAAACTTAGACCCAGTCTTGCCCCACGTGAGCTACACAGGCAGAATAGAGAAGAGAGATGCCCATGCTTCTGGTCTCCTGAGAACTTTCTATTCCTCTCGTTAATGAACTATGAAGTCAGGAAGCTGGCAAATGTCTACAGAAACACAAAGTAGAAAACAGATTTGGTCCCATTCCTTCCTAAAACATTGAATGCCAATTCATCATAAGGGCTCAGATATGTTCTAAGGGCCAAGTTACGTTTGAACCTCAGCTTAGCAATGTTATCAAAAAAGCCCACTGGGTCTCCACCTCTCCATATCAGTATTCTCTCTTAAGCTGGAGTATCAGTGAATACACTGAACTCCCACTACAATCAGAGCACTGTTCTTAACTGCTAGGAATTGTAAAGAAAACAATGGTACCTGGTTCTGCAGAAGCTTATTCATTCTCCAAGTTAACAAATATTTATTAAATTCTCACTTTGTGCCAGACACTAAGAGCAATGAACACAGTAGATTAAAGCGCTGCCTTCTGGTGCACATAATGTGGGGAGGCAGAGGTAGATAATAAACAAATAGCTAAGTAAATTAAATAGTATGTCAGTTGATAGTAATCAATATGGACAAAATACAATAGAGAGGGAGTACCTGAATGGAGGTAATTCACAACAGCCAGGACACTGACTGCAGACACAGTGAGCCTACCCCAGTGCCACCACAGTGGGTGGGTCAAGGAGTAAGGGAACCTTTAGCAGAGGCTGCAGTAGCCCATCAGGCCATGAGCAGACGGGAAAAGTGAAAAGAGACTCAGGGATCTGCAGTCCATGAGAGCCATGGGGAAGATGTCAAGTGCTCCTGGGAGCATCATCCGAGTCAAAGAAAGCAGCCACCTCTTCACCAGCCACAGGCCTCTGCCTCCAAGGCTAGCAGAGCCACTGGTAACCAGGCAGGAAGGGGACATGGAAATGAAGTCTAGTGAATGTCGGCCCCAGGCACCCCAGGAGCCTGCACCGAAGCTTCATAAGGACCGCTCCCTCTAGCTTTAAGCCACTGACCCCTCTCCCCATACACCTGGGCCACCCTGGGGAAAGGCACGATGTCTGAGAGAGCTGAACACTGCCCAGAAGGGCCAGTTAACTGATTCGCCTGGACCATGCCTTACCCGGGCTACAGCATTCATTTCTCTTGTTGAGAGCACAGGGGAAAATCAGATCAACTATAAACGAAGACATTACATTTTCTCTGCCTAGGGGGAGGAGACAGGGAGGAAGAAAAAGTGGAAACAGCGAGCACAGCAACTATTTTGAAGAGTTTTGCATGAAAATGATCCAGAAGAGAAAAACCAATGGAGAGAGAAAGAGAGAATTGATACAGTGATGCCTGGAGGAGGAGAAAGGAGGCCTGAGGGACAGAGCCAACTTCAGCTGCAAGTACCACCAACTGTCCCAGGGGAGCAAGAGCGGAGGTGTGGGGTGTGGCAGTTATCTTCAAACCGCTGCTTTTTTTTCAGAGAAACAGGGTGCAAGGTCACCAGCTGAAAAGCAGGGGGTGGAGATGGAGTCTG